TATGACATATAGGAAAGTTAACGCCCTCTTCAACCTAAAAAAAGAATGCGAAACAGTTATGGCCGATATTTTATTTTCTTATTCATCGTTGAAATTGTTTTTAAAACAAATATGGGTTTTAGTAATATTTCAACCTAATCTGGCTCAAAAATATAAATGTAACCTCTAATATAACGTTATAGTATATTAAATGTGCCCTGGAGTTCTACTTTCTTCATTTCTATGTTTACCTATGTAGAAATATGTATAATAATTACCCACTCTCTAGTATAGCAATAATATTGCATTACACTATAATATATGTATAACAAACTGTAAAACTATCTAGTATCTCTGAATAGCCAGCCAGGTGAGCCACCGTGTCTGATTGCGAAGCCAATGGTTGCGGTTTCAAATCTGGCTCAGGACATGAATGTTCTCTCAGTATGTTATCCACTTTTGTGTGAATATGGCCCACCCTATGAACGAGTATCTGTGACAGTATGGCGTGAGCATGGCCAAGGGCGTGAGTATTGTTGCTCGCCTCCATGACTTTGTCATAGGGTGCCGAATGAGCAACACTTTCGACATTTTCTTAGGAGGAGAACGAAAAGTTTAGTGCATGCAGTCAACAAAAAAAAAATTAAATAAATAAATAAAAGGATCTCCGAATAACAATTACCCATTCAAGTCAGTAATTAATATTTTGGAAAAATATGTATTTCCTTTTATTTTTCAGTTTCTGAAATATAATTTATGGAAATATTACTTAGAGCTTTTTCTAAAGGTTTTGAATGATTTTTGAAAATGTTTAATTCTTTGACAAATTTGAATTCAGTAGCCAACATTTCAAAGAATAAAATTTTTAAAAATTCAAAATATTAATTAGTTACTTAATTAATAGATAATTGTCGCTCGTATATTTTTCCGTAGATTAATTATGGTGACGAGGAAAATAGGACCAGACTCCAAAACACTTAAACTATTACAATTTAAAGAAAATACCTTAAAAAGGCAACGAGAAAATATTTTTTTGCCAACACATATTATAATTTTTGTATTTCATCAGCAAACTTTTCTAAAATATTTTTGAGGAAAATGTAGAAAAATGATTTTCAAACGGAAAATTCTTAAAATAATTATTTAATCAAAAATGAAAATTTTACATTTATTTTTATTTATTTAGTGTATTAATAATATAATAATGTTAATTATAAATTTAATATTATATAATAATTTATAATAATGTTAATTATAAATTTAATATTATATAATAGTTTATAATAAAATGTTAATTGTAAATTTAATATTATATGATAGTTTATAATAATGTTAATTATAAATTTAGTTTTAAATAATTATCTTTTTTGCCATCGACAGCTTAATCTTTGCCCAGATCTCCGAAAAACATAAATCATAACTAATTATTGTACATGGCTTTTTATTTTAAAAAAGATTTTGCAAAATATTTCATTACCAAATAATCTCAAAATTTTAATAAAAATTACTAAGACTTACAGATTTTTTTTTTTTATCATATCGTTGAGGGGAAAAGGGGAAAAAAGGAATCACACATAACTCTCACGTTTTCCTTCGTTTCATCTTTCAATTTAGTATCACTTTTGTTTTTGTCTTCATGCAACTATCTAGGGAAAACTAGGGAAGTTGCGGTTTTCTTTTTCATTTCTAGAAAGAGGGGAAAATCTATAAAAATGTTAAGCATCAGGGCGAGACATACCAGAGAGAAAACAACAAAAATCTAGCATATAGTAGAGAAAAAGACAGATTCATCGGAAATATGCTGCCGAGTCAACCATCAAAGGCGATCCATTTCATTTAAGTTTGAGAATGGTGTTCTTCGTGAACTCTCAATCTTTATTTTCCCTTTTTTTCCCTTTTTCCTTACAGTTTCCAGAGCAGCCTTTGTGGTTGTCCTCTTGCTGTTATGCTGATGCATAATTGAAGGTTCTTGCGAATTTCATGAATGTTTGACGACGTGTGCTTCGAAAAAAGTATTATGAATCTTTAAAAGAGGTGGGGACTTTTCAGGGTCCAAAATACAGCTTTTTCCAACATCGCTAGGGAAGCTGTAGGGATTTTTTGGACTATTCTTTTTGCAAGACAAATGACAAGATATAAATTTTGGGAAAAGTTTTGGAAAGAAAGTTTGCAGAAAAATATTATATGTTTGGTTTAGTTTAATTGAATGTAAGCAGATTATGGTTGGCTTATTGTGCGGAACTAAAAATAATACATAGGGAAGTCAGAAATAATATTTTTTGCTCATATTTGTAACTCGTGTTCATGATAAATTTCAGTTCCGTCAATTTACAAAAATTTCTAAAATAAATAGTACTTCTTAGTTGACAGCTACAATCTACAAATAATTATAAAACATCAATTTATAATAAATTGATATTTTTATTCAACAACACGGGGAAAGTTAAGAACTTAAAAAAGGATGCTAAAAAAGCTGATTTTGATCGTAATTCATTAATTGTTTTTTTTTTTTTTTTTTTTTTTTTTTTNTAAATCTTCAAAACAATTTTTTTTTTTTTTTTTTTTTTTTAAATTGTGTATTTTTTTCATTCAATTTTTTATTGTTTCCACATTGTTGTTCACCATATTGTTTTATTCGACAACACAGCAGGAGTAAAATTTAAAGCATGGAAAAATATGCCATTCGTAAAATAATTCATAATCGTTCTTTTTCACATTTAAAAAAAATACACATAAATCGATAATGCTAGGCTAAAAAAAAAAATAATAATAATTTTTTTTCAACATTAATTTTTTAGTACGTGTAGTTTAGAAGCTGATTTAAATATTTCCCATTGAAAATATTAGTGTTCGGAGAAATAGTTTAAAGGTGTCTATCTCTGCCACATCAACTTAGCGTATATTTTTATTACTTTGAAACTAATGGTATGATATTAAATTTAAATATCTTTATTCAGCACTGAGTTATTCGTCAAGTTGTCAATTAGCAATTTATTATGCAATAGTTTGAGATTTAAAGTTATTCTTGTTTATAGCTCCTTCTTTTATTAGTGAGTTCTACTGCAGCTTCCGCATATAATTATAAATTTGAATTTCTGATTCTGTTGCGAAATACAGTGGCTAGAGCTACATTGATTTGTTACAGGTGCATTATTTTTTAGAATAAAATTCAGAGCTTAAATCTAGAATTTATTTTAAGGATTTTCAAAATTTCGAATTTGCAAGTTTAAACTATTTTATTTATTTTAAACGATACCTTTTTAATACAATTACATTTAAATTAATTTCTTCTACTATGAAAAAAATTCATTTGAACCAGTTTTTAAACGTATAGGGGACTAAAATTGTCTGAGTGCATATACCTAAGTTAAACGTTAGCTAAATATAACGTGCGTTCCGGATATAATTAAAATATTTAATTTTGATCAATTCGCACAGTAGTGGACATAGCGTTTGCAAATTTAATAAAATGAAGCATTTTTGATAATTAAAAAGTTATCAAAAATGCTTCATTTTATTAAATTTTTAAATTTACAAGTTTCTAGATATTAAATATGTTTTGGTATTCAAAATTTTCTGTTTTTCTCATCGAGAAATAACTGTTTATAACTTCGTTAAAATATTTTACGAACGAATATTTACCCATAAAAACATATACTCTCTAATTGCGTGGAAAGCATAAGTTAACTAGTGCTGACATCTATGTGCAACAGGGAAAACCACATTCAAAGAGGAAAAGCTATTTACCGGTATAGCAATTTCATTAAATTATATACAACTTTTTAAATAAACTGAATTTTGACTAAAAATATTGTTAAAATTTTATTTCGAAAAATATTCTTCAAGCATTCACTTTTAGGTGGTATATACTTGCTATTTTTATTAATCATAAAAAGTTTTGAAACTGCTTTCTATAAGTTGAATAAAAATATTGCTAAAATCTATTGTTACTTAATTTGAGTCGTTTTAAATAAACCAGCCCCACAGCACAGGTATTGATGCACTTTTAAGAATTTAATTGCTACTGCTTATAGGGCCGTAATTATAATTTTATTTGTTTCTTTTTATAAACAAATACATTTTGTAGAAAGTTCAACCTAAATTAATTTTGAGGATCTTAACTCAGTGAATTCTTTTTTCTTTTAAATGATCTTTTTATTACACAAATAATCCCTTCACCATGTCTCAGACAGACTTCTTAATAATTCAATAATCTAAAATTTAAACTTACAAAATTTTAATTCTAGATTAAAATAATAAAAATAAACCATGTTAAAATAAAATTTGTAGGAATTATAAACTCTTACAATGTCGTACAATTATTTTAATTCATTCTTTCTTACATTAATATTTCTTTTCTTATAAATTATTTTAATATTTCAAATAATTTTCAGGACGGAAAAAAAGACATTTTCCCCAAAACTCTTACCAAATATGTTATATAGTTAAATTTGTGTTTTATTACATGGTTAATTTGTGTTAGCACAATATTAACAGAATAAAAATAAAATAAAAATTTGAAAAAAGCTCAGTTGTAAGTATGAATAATAAAATAACGTAATAAACTTTTTTGGAGGTGCCATTTTTACATCAAAATTTTCCTTTGAATTTTTTTCCCGATAAATACGCTTAAAATTTGCAAAAAATGCTCTAAATAACGCTACAACTCATAGGAACACACTGTTGCTTACATGGGAAATCGAGAGACATTATCCTGAACCCATTGAAAATGGGGCTTGTCATTATATTGCCTCAAACTTACACATAACTCATACAATATAACATTAACCAAAACACATAAATTAGATTGAATTATTAACTTAATTAACGCTACTTTCTCAGGGAAAAAATTAAACGGAAATAATAATTCATTATTTTATGTGATTTTCAAGATTTACATTCAGTATTTTTATTTGCGTCATAAAACTTCACAAAAAGCAGTAACTTAACTTGTATTTAACTACATTGAATTTTCAACTTTATTGTTATTATGTAATCAATTTAAAATAATTCTTTTTCAGCAAGTGCAAATAAATGATGATTTCTGTGGAATGGATGTGAACACTCCTCTGGGAGGTAGCATGCCCATTGAGGCCACTCCTGTGCTTACGTATTCTGGACTCCTGCTAACTTCAGTAGCTGCCACTTCCACCCACGATTACACGGTAGCCTTTATGGGCACGGCCACTGGACACTTGAAAAAAGTAAGTGCTTTTGTCTTTACTTTCTTCTTCTTTTCACGTCGCCAAAAACACCACTCAAGTTAGAATTTTATTCCTTTTCCTTCTGAGATTGGCGATATGCCATCCCTTTTTATGGGACACTACCTTCATTTATTATCTACTTAATCCACATTTATGTATCCCCATTTTTTTCCCTTACTTTTTTGAATTGGATATATCCGAGGTTGTATTCTATACGTGTATCAAGGGGGAATCATGACTCAGGGCTAGCATGGTCCTTAGCTTGGGTAGTTAATTAGTTCTGTCACCTGTTCAACGAGTGTCGATGTCACCTGACTTATCAACACACTTCCATCAATTTTCTTTTCTTCTAGGCCCAGGCTCGTTCTGTAGCACCGCCTGTCTGCTGCAGATTGTGCAGAAAAGGGGGATTTTTTTTCCCTCTAAAACTCCCTTCCCTCCGTCATTTTGGCCCCTGGCATTTATTTTCCTTAGTTTTTCCCCTCTCCCGGGCTGTGATTTCTCAGTGTTGTAAATAGAAAGAAAAAGCGGTATTTTCTTTTGTTTTTTGTTCTTTTTTTTCCTTTCCAAAATCAAAAAAGGGAGAAAAGAAAAGAACTTTTAACATTGTCCATTTACCCTCTAGGTTTGTCTAGGATGTTATAGGTTGTATTGCCATTTTGAGAAAACATATATTGAATCATACAGTTATACACGCCGTTTATTAAAGAAAAGAATGAGTTATTCTCTTAAGAATGAATTTAGAAAATCAATAATGTCTGTTTATGATTCGTTTTGTAATTTTGTTTCTTCATTTTTTTAAAGAAATTTAGTTTTAAATGCAAAGTTTTATCATCGTATTAACACTCACATACATATTTTTTTATAATGGGATATAAAACTAAATTGAAAAATACTGATAAGTTTTGTTGACTTTTTTTAAAAAACTCTTATTCTATCTCTGTTTATTTTATTTTAGTTAATCAGTTATAATTTATTAATTTATGCTAATTGTTGAACAGCAAATGCAATAACTGAAATCAATATTTCTTTCATTCTTCATGCATTCCCAAAGTAACCTATTGCAGTTATTAAACTAATTTTTCATAATTGCTGTTATTTAGGTTTTATGTGGGAATATCCACATATTTAGTACTCAGTACATCGGAATAAAATAGTCTATTATGAAGTAGTTTTCTTTTTTTTCTTTTTAATATTAGCGATTTAATATTTTGTTTTAAAGTTAAAACGTTTACTATTATATAAAATAAGAGATTCGTGTATTTATTTATTTAGTATTTAAAGAAATGTAAAAATCACAGATCTTTCCCTGTATTCTATCACATAATCGACCATAAATTGCCTCTCAGCTGCTACTAAATAGTTCTCCNTTTTTTTTTTTTTTTAAGACCACAGATTAAATGTTCTCTGGAATAAGTAGATATATATATATATATAATTTTTAAAAAAAAGAAGAAAAAAAAGAAAGAAAAAAAAAAACAGAAAAAGACGAAACATTGACAGACGTGAGGCGCATGTTCGGACTCCCGAGAGCAGGAATAAAATGTCAGGAAAAGAACTTTGGAAGGAGGGTACAAATGAAAAAAAAAAAAAAAGCGGAGAAGTCCTAGAGGAATCGAAGACTAATGCGACGTCTAAGTTGGCAGCTGAATCAGCTAGCAACTTGCGGACTCTGCAACTCAGTGTCCCGAAAAGGTGCTTTAGCCGGAAGAGTTAGGGAAGACGACATTTTCCTCCACCCCCGCATTTCTTATTCCTTTTACTCCTAGTATTTGAGTGAGACGAATTTAATATACTTCCTGATTGGAGATACGGTCCTCCCTCGATGACAATTGATTTCCGTTATTCAACCCCCATGATTAGATTCAAAATCCCTTCCTAATGGTTTCGATGAATAAGACAGGAAGAAATTTTGGTCATTGCGCATTATGCGATTTTCAAATAATTTTTGATATATGCGTCTTCTTAAAATTCCAGTCAAGAAAAAGAAACTAGCCCGATTTTTTTTTTTAAGTATAAAATTTAGTTCTTGTTGTTGGAATCCACCATCAACCTTCTTCCAAATCGGGCGTTTTTGCTCAAATTCGTCCAAATTATCATAAATTTATTTCAAACTTCTCTCAAATAAACATTTTGGCATTTACCATCGCTTCACCAAAACAAGCACCCCCCCCCCCAAAAAAAAGGAATAATAACTTGTTTCAAATCATTAATATTAGTTCTATAAGTAGGGAACAGTTATATTTATTTAAGTCTGCTTCACTGATAAAACAACTTATGTTACTTGGAACTATAACTTAATATAAAGTAAAATTAATCTAAACGGCTTCGGAAATATAAAACTCATTCAAAACAACGCCAAATTGTTACAAAACCAGTTAATGTAACTACATCACTGTTCCAAAACTCCAACATTTAACCATGTGATCCTAAACTAATTTTGTATTAATATTATTTAAATAATGGTGAATCGCGTCTAATCTTACACGTCTAATAACTATCGCGTCTAATCTAACACGTCTAATAACTTTCGCTTCTAATCTAGTCTAAACACGATCATTAAACAATTATTGAAAGTTGACCATTGCATGATTATCCATGAGCACCAATAACCAACACTTTTCAATTTTACCGTAACAGTTTTGGTTCAGGTATTACTTTTATGAATCAATGATTTACAGTGTTATTGTCGCATTCATCGACTAGTAAGAATAGAGACCAAAAGCCGAAAAGTTATCGATGCTCCAGCTCCGCTACCGGATAATAAGCCAAGCTTCGGCTTCTGCAATTTTAGTATATATATTTATGCACACTTTTGAGTTTCAAATTTTAATTTGAAATTTTTATTATGATAAGAAGCATGAAAAAAAATAATAACATAATCATCATTTCACACTTATAATTTAATTCATAACTGAGTTATTTGGTCATTCTTACGAAAGGAATTGAATCTACTATTTAATATATATTTATGCACACTTTTGAGTTTCAAATTTTAACTTGAAATTTTTAGTATGAAAAGAAGCATGAAAAAAAAATAATAATAACACAATCATCATTTCACGCTTGTAATTTAATTCATAATTGAGTTGTTTGTTCATTCTTACGAAAGGAATTGAATCTAATAAATAACTCTTTAATATTTGATCTTAAATTATTATAAATGTATTTTAATGCCGAGAATAGTCTTTCTCTAGCAGCTTGGCTGATCGGCGATGCCGTAATAATAAGGCAGGTCTCTTGAAAGTCTGTAGGATACAATGAAATTGTTGGCACCCTGAAGCATGAGATAATTTAGATCTCCACTTCAAAGCAAACATAGCTCCAGCTCCGGGCCCTCGAGTATAGATATTCAATTTTTAAAATGTTTGCATGCAAATTACGCAGAAACCATTGTTATTAAAACCACGTAGATTTAATCAAGATTGTGTATAATCATTCTGCATCTTGATTTAAATTTAAGAAATGATAAGAACTTAGCATTGATTTAGTTGCAATATTTTGTTTGTAATTATATTACATTTATATTCATTAAAAGCCTTAAACTTATTTACGAAATCGCAAAATTTCTTCATGTATCCAATAGTGAAATTAAATTAAACGCTTTACAAAGACTTTATTTATAATCCAAAATATTTATTGAAGAATATTAAGATCATAACACAATTAATTAATACTGAAATGATTGATATATTAATTTATTTCTGGAACATCGATCAATTCATGATCATTAATTAAATTCTTTCCTGGCAAAAACACATTCTTAAAGCTCATATTGATAAAAATAAGCTTTAAATGGAAGAAAGCAGCTTGTAATTAAAATATTTTTGGTAAGAAAAATGTTGAAAAATAATTAAAATTCGATCGTTTTTTAATTTCTTAATATCAGTCGTGTCAAATAAATTTGCATTAATAAAATGAACATTTTTAATTATATTTTTACTGCTGCAAATCATTAAATACCTTCCAATAATTAAAAAAAAATTAATTTCTTATAAAATTCTTCAATTTATCTCATGCAGCTTCAGAAAAATTAAAAAGTTTTTAACCACGTTTTACTTTATTTCGAACATTGGAAATATTGTTCAAAAATAATTAGCATAATTATTCACTTTGTTTTCTTCTAATTGAAAAGTTCAGTCCAATAACAAAGTAATTTATTATTAATTTTTATTTTATTGCATTTTCGACAGCGAATAATATAGCTGGATGCTTCAATTAGAGCAAGAACCGACCTAGAATATAAAATCAGTGTAAAAAGTGTGAGGAAACAAGTGTTAAATCTACTGACTTTCCAAATTTCATTTGACTCGTCAACGATTTGTGATTCTGGGCTTACTTTATTATAGCTCCGATCACTTTAATTATATTAGGTCCTTTATGCGTCGTGTTTAGTACCAAATCTTACTATGGTTTTTCTAAAAGAAAAAATAAATAAAAATTACAATTTGGATTCCTTAGGTCATTAATTATATTATTTGTAGAAATTTAGTTATGTTCATTGTAAAAAAAAAATTTCTGCGTATTAAAGGATGAATGATTTGTACCTTGCAATGGCTTTTATCAATCCAAAATGTTATCAGTACCCCAAAGATGAAGATTTTTACACCAAGGTAGACATTTTACTCAGTGAATAATAGATCTGTCTAGACTTTAAATCTAAAATTAATTCGTGTTAAATCCCATTAAAAAAGATGAAGTTAATAATTATTTTCACTGAATGAATTGAATCGAGAGCAGCCTGGATTATCCATTTAATTTAAAAATGAGGAAAAAAAATACACTGTAAGCATTCAAATTTTCTTCTAAAATCTTTTCCAGCAGTTTTTTTTTCCCCAGCAAAGGCAGAAGTAAAATCAAGATTTTTAATCTGTTTTCGGTTTAATTTTTTCACTGGTTGCGTCAGTTTTTCGACATGCAAACAAATAATAATGCTAATCATATTTATTCTTTTATTTATTCATTATTATTTTTAAGGCTACGAACTTGGCTTATTAAAA